AAGTGGTCAGACAGAAAGATAATGTGGTTTCTTCCTCAGATAACATTTCTAAGGCCTGATGAATGGTCACTTCTGGTATGGACAGCAAAAGGAGAACAACACGTACAACAACACAAGACAGCAAGGACTTCTAACCCTAAACCTTTGTCCTAGCAAAGATTGCAATACTCTCTTACCAACATAGAGTATTTCATAGTAATTCTGTCAGCAATTAATTTTTAACTGATCCCATCTAGGGGTGCAGCAGGTCAGACAACATAAACAAACTATTCCCTCTAGCCTTCAAGCAGCTGAACTGGTCATGACTAATTCTTTGAGCAGCAGAACTGATGAAAAACAATTTAACATGGATTAGTATTTGAAGGCTGAGTGCTCAAGTGGATTCTCTGCTATCTGTTAAGGACTGAACTCCTCCAAAAAACTCTCCTTCAGCTGGGGAATTGTAGGGTGTCAGTTTTCCACTCAATCATTTAGTTTAGTCACACATGTGGAAAATACTACCACTGAATTTCCTGGTGAGTATCAACCGAGTTTGACAGAGGAGTAAAATTATCTGAGATAACTTTATACCTCTGTCAAAATCAGTTAATAGGAATAATTCAGACATTACTGAGGGAAGAGGAAGGCAATTGACAGATAGACATATACAGACAAAATTCAACTGTAAGACTTGCTTGCTTTAGAAATTCCTAAAGATATAAATAAAGGAAGGAAGTACATGCAGATGGAATAAAAATAAGGCATCTGATGCTCTAGCTGCACACATCAGAGAATGATCACACATTACAGGTGGGAGGATAGTGCAAAAAGAAATACTGTAGCTTTATAGATCATAGCATGCAATTTCATAACAAAAATCATCTTTAATAGAAAGTCATAGAAGTCAGAAGACAGCAAAACAGATCACAAGTGAGAACTCAATGCATAGAAGAAATATGCTGCAAATTTTTAGTTTTAACTTTTAAACCTACAAACAGATATAAACTTTGAGAAGAACAACAGAGTTGCTTATAGACAAGGTTAGTTTTCTCTGCCTGAGGAGTGGTACGGAAGAACGGGTCATAGTGGTAGGCATAGGACACTGTCTGTAGAGGAGAATGACTTGGTGGAACAAGAAACCTTGGGAAGACCCTCAAATGAAACATGGGAAAAGAATGAATCTTTACTGATATCTGCCCAAGTGGAGTAATGAAATTGGTAATCTTTGCAACAACACAGAGTGAATAGGAAAAATCACACAAGCGTGGCTTGTTTGAAGAAGCTTCCATTGCTACAGCTTCAAGTAAGCACACTAATGAACACACACTTGTGAAAACATGCTTATGAACACAATGCTGCCTCTTCAGCACTTGGTTTACCATGCCACTGGAGGCCTTTTGCTGTTCCTCCTGCCACACAGCTGCTCACCTTCCCCTTCATGCTGCCTCTCCTCTGCCCATAGTTCCCTCTCTGCTGAGCAAAAAGCTTCCCAGCTTGAGTCATACCCTCAACACTGCTCAACCAGCTCTGCTCTACCAGATCGGAGAAAAGAAATGTCTTCCTCAGAGGAGTGGAAACCAGCAGTGAAAATTGTTTTTTACAACCCCAGTATGTTTTCTGAAATATTTACACAGCAACACACTTAGGTGTGAGACAGTAAGAAGTTTAAGGTAATGTTTTTAGTTACTCAAATCCATAGTCAGCAAAACAGCTGGCCACATCACATGCAGTCTTATACCAGTTAGTGCTTGATCCAACAGTAAAAAAATCTCATCTGTTCCAGCCCTGAAATTACCATGCACCCACACTGTGGACTGATCATTCACCAGCCAAAGTATGTGGGTGGTAGCCTGACATCTGTCAGTATGGTGGGCCATGGAGTATTACACTGTGTTGCTGCATAGCTACAGAAGCAGAAGACAAAAGGTGCGTTATTATGTAATACACCTCGTTTTTCACCTAGCTGGTGTGTTTGAAATCCCTACACAGCTGAATGATGAGAAGAGATGCTATAAAGCTGGCACCAAAGTTGATTGCTGCCTGTATTTTGGTGAGTTCTGAATGTTTTGTCTCCTCTTTTGTATTGTTAAATACAGTTTTTCAATCCAATAACCAGGACCTAAAACTGTTTAAAGTTAGATATTAATGAAAAACAGTATTAATAGTGAGGCAAGGAAACCAATTTTATGTGGAAGGTCAGTGCTCAAGATTGCTTAAACAGATTAGATATTCTGGAACGATATGCAGATGGGAGTTTACAGAGGGGGATTGCATGGATGGTTCTTTCAGCACAAATTTTCTAACTTTGTTTTGATTTTCCTATCTCATGCCTTATCACTAAAAATGATTCCAAACTAAACATAAGGCATCTCTGAGCTTTGGGAAAGTTTGCATAAAGACCCTGACTTTGTGCTCTTTATTTTTCCTGTTAGTCAACAGATACAAAAATCTGTACTTTAATTTATGTCAAGTAGATTTCTCATCAGCCTAAAATAAACATCAGAAATGCTTCTGGAGTTGTGCCTTGCAGAGAGAAAACAAATATACAAAATGTCACCCCATGGCAGATTGAACCTAGTCTGGACTATGCCCCACTCTATGGATATATTAGTATCTCATGGATATCCCTGAAGTCTTGCATTAGATGGGGTAAAAAGATTGGAGTGTCTTTGTAGAACAGAGCCTTTATTGCAATAGAGCAGTGACCTGTAAGGTAAGAACATGTCATAGCTGCACTTAAAACAATCTGAATTTCTTAAGTCCCTTTCCCTTTAGGTCTCTCAACGTCTGTTTTAGAATCACAAATAAGATTCCCGTAAGGTTTTTCAGAATAAACACACATTGTCATAAACAAAAGCCTCTTCATTCTCCCCTGCAGGTTATGCCTAATCTCTACAGATTCCTTCTTGTTCATATTAAAAGCTACATATACTCATATATATAACTATACTGCTTTACTACAGTGTTATCAGCCCTGCTCACAAAATCTATCTAGAAGTTTCTTAGTGTCACAAATTATTCCAGATATGACCATGTAACTGGATATCAGTATGATTCTTATTTTATGCATGTTTCCAGAGATTATTAATAGTTTCATAAATACACATTTAGCTAAGTAATTTAGTATAGCCACAAATAAAAATCACATGAAAATAAGCTGCACTTTACAAATGAAAAATTAATATGATCACACACTGAATTTTCTAGGCTTTGACTCTGAATGTATCAATCTGCAAAGTCCATGGGACTCTGAAGCAGTTAGACATTTCATTATACTATACGTGATAGCTGATACTAATATACATAGAAACACATGTGAATGTTTGTACATTTATATGTCTATATGTGCTTATAAATGCATGTGTATACATGTATTTTTCTATATGTCTTTAGGCATGTATACATATGGCAGCTGGGTGAAAAAAATTATTTTGAGGGACATATTATATATGCCCTTTCAGTGCTCCAGTTTCAAACCATTTCAACTCAGATTAACCACGTCAAAACTGCTATTATGCTGCATGATAAGCAATGGTTTTTAGTCTAATACACAGTTGCAGTTGCAATAAATAATGCTATGTGCTCCCACACAAGGAACTGGATATTGATTGAAGCTGTATATGGAGACTGCAATTATAGCATGCATTTATCACAGTTTTAGGGAAAAAAGTCCAAAACATAATCATAACATTATTTTTAATTTCTCAACCTCATTGCTAAAGGTTTATGTGCTATACCATTTTGCTGCAACTTCCTTTTCACTGCAATTTTACTGGGCTAAGGAAGATTAATTAGTCATTCATTACAATAAAACTCAATTCTGAATGAAATTCTGAGGAGTTTTTTAAACCATTTAATCTTCCTAACTTCTTCTACAATAGTACTACTAAAGAAATGGAGCACATGCAGCAAACACTAAACTGTATTTTCAATAGCACTGTGTGAAAAACCTGGCTATATCAGGTCAGATTCATATAGTTCAATTTTCTTATTGATATAGTACAAAAAGGCAGGTAATGGAAATGCTCTGTTCCAGCTTTTTATTGTTACATTTTTATCTTTGGCATTTCGTGTAACTATTTTTTGCCCCCACCTCTTTCTACCTGAATGGTAATTCTAATCACAAAACAGAAGACAAACTAATAGAAGATAAACCAAAAAAGTTACAGTTAAGGAGCATAATGAATTAATTCTGTGCATTTGAGAAGAAAATGTACAGTTTCCATAATCCCAGGCAGCCCTAACGTGAGGGGAATTGTCAGTGTATGGACATAGACCAGTCTGCTATCCAAGAGTGTCTGCAGCAGGAGAAAGACCTACTAACAGGGTACAAGGTGTCAATTCAGATCCATCTTGCAGAGGTGTTTGGGCAAAGACAAGAAAATGATTAAAAACGCATGGAGGGGAAAATCCCTGAAATCATGTAAATGATAAGGCAATACAAACCACAGGGCTACTACTTCCTTTGGGGACGAGGCAAGGGGAAACATCACTGCCTGCCCTGTTCTTCTTCACATGGGTATTGAGAGAATAAATAAATCTGTGTAGATGCAGTGGTAATGAAGAACATATAACAAGGTAGGTAGAAGGACTCTTATTACAATATTCTTGTAAATAACCTTAAATAAAACATGCATATATTTGCTTAAATTAAATCTGCACTTACCCTTTTGAAATCTGTCTCTTCACACCCAAGTGTGATGCAGCCTTAAGACCATTGATTTCCACAGGGTTGGGTTTGGCCTCTACACTCTAATGGAAGCCAAATGTGTTCATGTGTTTGTTCAGCGCAAGACCCAGATTCCCATATAGAATCATAATTGAATCATAGAATGTTTTGGGTTTGAAGGGACCTCAGATGTCCTCTAATTCCATACCCCTGCCATGGGCAGGGACACCTTCCACTAGACCATCTTGCTCAGAGTCTCATCCCACCTGACCTTGAACACCTCCAGGGAGGCAACATCCACAACTTCTCTGGATCACATGAGGACCTGTTGTAAGCAGTTTTTAAGACTTACGATGGTTCTTCTGATACTGCTGCTCCTTCCTCCAGCTCTTGAGCCTGCTTATACCATGGCAACTTTGCTTCCACAGGGAGTTTCTCTATGGAACAAACACAAGCACATGAAAATAGGAATCATGCAGTAATGTTGCTATGTGTGCCAGCCTCCCTGCTGTCACTGACCATGCTTGTGATGCATGTGTACCTTCATCCACATGGAGGTTGAGCACAAAGAAGAAAGAGAGAAATGAGACCAGAAGAGTGGTGAAGAAACTCTTGCATCAGCTGGCTGATAATGCTTCGGGGTTATATGGCCGGGTACTTCACTGTTGCAGTTAAAAGGGCTATAGTGTTCTAAAGCCAGAAAGGCAAATTAAATAACTTCTAAGACTATACAAGTGGACTGGGAAAGTAGGCACTTAAGAAAATATTCTTTGGAGGGAGTCTTGCAAGTGCAACAGGCCTCCATTATACTGCAAAGGCAAAATGTGTTAAATCCCTGTGTACACCTTTAAATTTTAGAACTTCAGAAGACATGCTAAGCTTATTTTTGGTAGATTACAAAAAGGAAGATAATCCTGATATCAAACCTTAATAAACCTTAATCAAACCTTAATAAAATGGCCCAGGTACGCTTTTTAACTGCAAGTTTATCACTTCATCGGCTATGTGGATTTTAAAAAAAAGAGCTTGATACTTTTTCTGTCATCTCTGATGGAAAACAGTGGAGCTGCTTTTCCTCCCCTCCAGAACGTGTGCACAGTGTAATGAACTGCTCTGCTCTGGGGAGCACAGGGCCATGCTGCTTTGCAAGCCAAACTCCACTTTTATGCAGTGTTGAAGTAGAGTAGTTGAGCTGAAGGCAGTGGAGCTGTTTTAGCTCTACAGGGGTATAAAGCAAGAGCAAATTTAGCACTACAATTTGAGCAGGAGCTCTGCATTTCAACAAAACATTCTGGGCTTAGGATCAGGGGAAAAAAACAAAAGGCAGGGAGACAGCCCACTGAGGACAAACAGGGCCAAACCTCTTTGCCACTCACAAATCACCAAGGCCTTTTGGATTTATATGATGGATATGTACTCATCTACAGGAGCAGATTAACTTCATTCAGAATAGTCAGGAATTTTCTGTGACTCTGTTGTACATAACAATAAACATTTCGCATATGCACATGAAATTTCCCATCTGCAAGTTGTATCATAGAGGAATGACAACTTACAACTTGATTTCACAGCTACTGCAATTTTAGTCATGGAAATTTCCTTGGGCAAGTTAGTAACTGAGGAGAAAAGGGACAGTAACACAGTGACTATGGCCCTGTTTTTGAAACAGCTTGCCAAGCTCTTACTCTAACATATTTATTAGTGCCATTTAAGGATGAATATTTGCCAGCACAGCTCTTAGTTTAATCTATATTTTACCACATTTGTCATCCAAAATATGCAGGAGATATTTCTATTTATATGTTCTGCAGTTTGTTTTATGGGATTTGGAAAGCCAAATCTTACTGTGTTTTTTAGCTTGGATGCAAGTGCTTGTAAAAAGCAGAAGCTCATTGCCTGTCACGTGACTTTTAAAATAACTTTTCTTTTTTTTCAGAGGTGTAGTTAATTATGATTTACATTGAAAAATTTGTTAGAGGATTAGAAATGTTGATGTTGTACAGTATGCTTTGACAGAAAAAAGAACAAAAAGCAGCCCTGACACAAGCTAAGGAGGAATTTCAACCTCTGGAGATTAAAGTAAAATCTCTCCTTTTATAAAACTGTTCCAGCAAGAGCACTTAAATCCTATATAATACAGAGAATTGTATTAGATCAATACACCTTGTCTATTAAAACTGAAAATTATTACTTAATTCAGTGATCCTATTTTTTTCCCAAAATTGGTGCAAGATAAAATGCCTTAGTGCTTGCATGAAGTAAAATGAAATAAATTACTTGAACTATTTGCATTCTATTTCTGTTTAGCACAGTGTGTTAAGAGTTCCACATATTTTGCCTTGCTGCTTCAGCCAGCTAGGAAGACTTTTTCCCACTTTGTGTTAATCCAGCTGCAGAATGCAGAAGCAGTCTAAGATTAAACCATTCAACAGACAAGAGGCACTTTGCTACCTCTACTGATCTGAACCTCTAACTGTGAAATGAAAAGGACAGAATTCTAGCATATATATAGAATAAGCTGGATTGGAAGAGACCTCTGGATACCATCTGGTCAAACTCCCTTCTGAAAGCACTATTCAGCCTTCATTTACAAGGGTATTCAAACATTTATGAGAAACAGAGATGGTTTAGGGTTTAGGGGTTACAGCAGAGTGGCAGGTCAATGGTTGGACTTGATGATCTTAGAGGTCTCCTTCAACCTTGATGATTCTTTGATTACCACTTGCAGTATCGAGGGAAACCCAAGACGAGAAGGAAAACAAAATCACAGCAAACCAGTATGCTTTGTGTGGGACTTTCCATCCCATATGAATAAAAATGGAAGGAAATAACTGCCTACCATCAGAAATTAATTATGTATGTGCTGCAAATAGCAGCCTAAGAGTTTAAACAGGGTAAAGATGCCACAGTCTTGCAAGGGTGGGTTTCCAGCAAACAGTAATTTACTTTGCTCCCAAATGAGTCCCATTGGAAGAGACTTCTTGACAGAGGCAGGCAAGCAAAGATTTCCTAGCTGGTCTTCTCCCTTCCCAGGTTCCCAAAGTAGAAGTCAGTTGCAGGTGTTTTGCAACACATGATTTTTTTCCATGTCGTATGCATTTTGCTTAGTCTATGATACAGGCAGAGTGGATCCTGCATTACCTGTGTTCTCAACACCATAAACATGTAAAGCCCCATAAAAATAGCTGACTGAATAAGCCCAAACTTTCTAAACCTCTATATGAGGTTCAGAGTCATGCTAACATAGTCACAAGGCTTTTTTTCACATCTTGGAAAGTGGATTAAGTGAGCTCATGTTGGCCAGTAAAATACAGTGCAAACATACCCATTGCTCCCCAGAGACCCTGTGTCTGGGTTTCACCACTCTGGTGGCTGGCAGACACAGTGAATTTTCATGGTCCAGATAAACTGGAATCTTGAAACTTGGAAAGTGTGCCCATCATCAGCCACTAAGTGCAGAAAATAGATTCCAAATTTTTTCTATTCCATCTTGGAACGGCACAAGGTCACGGGTCAGATTTCTCTGGGCTTCATAAAAAGTGCTCTTAATGTGTTTCAGGATAGCAATTCTTTTTTAAAAATGAACTATTTTTTCCTATGGTACAGTTCAAGTCCCAATTTAGGAAAATTCAGTTTACCAGCATTGCTGTAGTCCAGAACCTTCCATAAGTTAGTCAGCATACAGACAGAGGTTGTGACAATAGACCTGTATACATGCACAATCCCATGCATGCCTATACACCTGTGGAAATTGCCAAATACCTGTTTCTGCTGCACCTGGTCACTGCCCATTAATCCAATCCAGTCTCCAGGACTTTTTCTTACATTCCCATCCCATAAGAACCTCCAAACAACTGCAAAAATGTCTCCCTCTTTCAACAAATCACAGTGGATTTACCCCAGTATTACTCTCTGTCTGAGGCCCAAGTAAAAAGATATTTCCATACAAATTGTGAATATTCCTTGCTGTGTTTCGAGTCTAACAGTCTGAAAAATTTTGCAGCCTAGCTAGTAAGAGGAACCTCATGATAGGATATTCAGTGCTTGTTTCTGACCTATTTCAAGCTCCAAGTTATAAATGACACTTTTGTAATTATGGTTACACTTGCCTACCACTGGCAGTATTTCTATATTTAATTTATTTTAGAATACATGGCAAATTTGGCTCAGACACAGTGAGGTCAAACCTGCTTACATTATGGTCAAATTTACATTTGTACTGCTTGGTCTGCTGGAGCACAAATTGACAGTGAAAAGCCCAGAGCTTGTAAGAAAGAAGGGGTCAGCACTCTCTCCAAGCTGCTAGACGGTAGGCAGGAACAGACAGGTGCAAAAGCATAACTTGGTGCAGGTGGAAATAGTGATGCCAGCAACAAAATAAAACTGCTGAACATGGAAGAGGTCTGAAAAATTTATGAGAACACTTCTGCCTCATTACCTTTGGGTTTGTAGCAAGGAGTGGGCACAATGCATTCTTCTTTTATGTGTGGCTTTGTTTTAGAACTACAGCCTCCAGTATGCATCCCCCTGTGATCAATGCAAAGGACCACACGGTATCTGAGCCCTTGTCCACAGGTAACAGTGCACTAGATGAAAAAGAAACCAAAAAAGGTGCATGTGATACATCATAGGAGTGATAAATAAAAGGGGAAGCAACAGAAGTATGTGTACATCAGAGAGTAAAACACAATGCTGAAACACCCCATCTTGAACATAAACCATTTGTAATATTTGGTAGTTATGGATTAGGTATAAAATGGATGGAAACTTTTACCTTTCTTGCTCTGAACATTTACTTGATTTGGACATTGTGCCACTGGGTTTCTCCTGCAGTGTCACTCTAACAGTGTTGCCTACTTGGCTTGTGGCCATTTGTCCCATATTGGTTATGCTCAGTAACACCCTGTCAGGTTCATCTCAAGACACTCTGCTTTGCTTGGACAAAGTGGTGGGGCTTATGGGTAACATGGGTCACACTCAGCTATTTTGGAACAAGGCACCAAACAGAATGGAACATTATTGGGCTTTCTTTAGTCAGACACTTTCTTAAGTCTTCCCCCCCCCCCCCCCC